AAATATTTTCCGCTAAGTAAAATTTATTCCCAGACACTTTTTGACTCATTGATTGAGGCGCTTGAGAGCGACCTTAGGGTGTTCTCAAGCATCTCAATTAATTAATTAATTAAATAATGATCATGATAACGCTCAAGTATCACAATTAATGACGATATTTATAGAATTAAATGCTTAAGCGCACTTTTTCTATTTTTCAAAATCTTTGTTATGCCTCCCAAAAAAAACCTAATAAAAAATTTTTTTATTCAACCAGCTACCGAAGCTTCAACTTCAGTTTCACTGGCTTCACCTTTTACCGATTTTACCAATTAAATTTTTGTTGCAACAGTAACAGAGCCAACTTGTAGAGTCGTTAGCGAAAATTGCTTTGCGGAAACAAGTAAATTTTTTATTATTTTTTATTATGGCAATTATAATAATCCTGTAGTTGCTATTTCGCACTGAAAATAGCATAGGCAAAACGAAAATATTTTCGAAAAAAGTTATAATCTTCATTATCCGTTAAATATAGAAAAATATCTACTAAAAATCTTTCAGTTTTGGGTCGTCTTTGCTAAAAAAATTTTAAATTTAGGTGAACGAAAATGGAAGTAGTATTTAATATAGTTTGATTAAAGGTTAAAATATGCGTTGCATTTATTACGTTCATATCAAGGTATCGATTATTTGCTTTAAAAACTTCGAGCATTAAAAATAAAGTAGCTATTTTTTTTAGATCGGGTAGAAAACATTTGTTTATTATGTAAATTTTTGAAGAGAAAAGATGGTTTGTAGCTCGCTGATATGTTCATCGAAATGGCAGTTCACTTGGTTAATTTATTCAATTTCCGACTAATTAAAAATTTACCTCCGATCTATTGAGTGAGGTGCTTGAGAACACCCTTAATTGAAGTTTTCTCAAACATTATCTTCGATGTGATTTACTAGTGATCGTAACGATGTTCAATCAATCAAAATATAAGATTGTAATTGATAATTGAGGGCTCTTATTATTCGTTATAAAAAAATAAATAAATAAAAGAAAATAAGAAAGTCGTCCAACAAGTAACGAATGCTATACCAAATGAAGAATTATTGACGGAATAGTTGAATTTGTTGTCATATGAGTAAAGGCTAAGAGATGTTTTATATTTTTATTTTCCATGAAAACTTTTAGTATAAGATGTAAAATAGTAATTCGTTGACGTCGAGAATAAGGATCCATGACAGTTACTTGAGCGATCTCTTTGAATACTCGATTAATTACAAAGTGTTTGTTTGTAAATTGATATGACACTCTTAATATTTTTTACTCATAAAAATTTTTTTGAATTACGAAATAAACTTTTTCAAGCTGAGAGTATTATTTAAATATCCATTATAATGATAAACACAATTGATCCGCTTAAAATATTTCTTTCCTCTAAGAAAAAATTATTCCCAGCACTTTTTGACCCATCGATTGAGGCGCTTGATAACGTCTTTGATCGCAAGATTCGAGCAACATCTTGATCACTAGCAAATCGCTTTATGCGAGTTACTTGAGAACATTCTAAACTTAACGAATAATTTTCTCAAAAGTCATATAGTTGGTGATTAATATAGAATATTTAAACAGTAATTGTTAAAAAATTTCAATTCAATCGTTGAGATAATATATTTTACTCAAGTTATATGAAACACGTTAATATAATTGATTCTTCCAATTCTCAACTTAAAAGTAATGATTGAAAAAAATACTAATGCTAGCGTATGCTGTAAAATGAAACTATTTCAATTAAAATTCAATTTATGTACTTTAAGGCTTCATATTATTATTATATTTTTTTACTGATGGACAAAATAAAGATTACGACTGAAAACTTATTAGCCAAGGCAAATTTTAAACTGTTATATGTAACTTCTTTTATTCATTAGAAGAGAATTTATAAAACTTGAAAAAAAAAAAACATCTTTTATAAAAGGTCTAAATTCGATTAAATTTTATTGAACGCAAAAAAAAAAAATTTGGTTTTAACAAAATACATCGAACTACAAATTTCTAGGATATAAACTTTGTAAAAAAAAAACAAACAACTTTAAGTTTTCTATAGAAGGAATTAATGTCAAAAAATAACGCAAAGAGAGAATATCTGATTAACTAGAACTTTCATGTATGTGATGGTTATCATGATGATCCTTCGTAATGTGTTTGTCATCATATCTATTATGTGATTCATCCAAATAATAATGATGACGATAATATGGCCAATCGTAATCATATGGTCGATGATACCATCCACTACGTTTTTCTTCAGCTGGGCCGTATCCATCATCGCTATCTTCGCCTTCATCATCACCATATTGTGCTTCTCTTTTAACTTTGGAAATTAAATGACGTTTTTCGTATCCATCCTCGCCATCATCATCACCATATTGTGCTTCTCTTTTAACTATGGGTATTAAATCACGCTTTTTATAATAACCACCATAACAATCATCATAATCATAAGGACCACAATCATCATAACCATACCCTGGCCACCATCCGCCGCCCCATCCATGGCCCCATCCATGACGACCAAAACCATGACCAAAATGTCTTCCATGTCCACCAAAATGTCCTCCTCGACTTCTTTTAACATTGGATATTAAATGACGTTTTTCGTATCCATCATCGCTATCTTCTCCATCATCATGATCTCTTTTAACTTTGGAAATTAAATGACGTTTCTCGTATTCACCATCGCTACCATCATCATCTTCTTCATCACCATATTGTGCTTCTCTTTTATAATGATTATACCCATAATGATCCCGATAATCTCTTTTTACTTTGGAAATTAAATGACGTTTTTCGTATCCATCATCGCTATCATCGCTATCTTCATCATCATAATCTCTTTTAACTTTGGAAATTAAATGACGTTTCTCGTATTCACCATCGCTACCATCATCATCTTCTTCATCACCAT